TTATAACATAAACACCTTGCTCATCATACCTATCCAGTCATATTTTAATTAATCAGATTCTCAAGGTCTATTTTTGTTCAAGGTCATGCTGTAATACAGTGTTTTAGGGATTTAAAACTTATATAATTAGAGTAATTTTATATTTCAACCTGCACGGTTCAACTTGCAAAGACCTCCATTCTCACGCTTTATCTATTGAACCAATAGTTATCAATGGATTCATTGCAAAACATTGATTAAAGCACCATGTAAATAATATTTCACATAATAAAAATTTAATAAAACTTTATTTTAATCACCTTGAACACTTAAAGACATTTAATTGCATAGATATACAATTGTAAGTATAACAATGTAAGTTGTATATAAGTTAATTGTTACATAGCCTTGGCAACAAATGCTGTAATAAATGACAGACTAATAAGCCAACAGTTAACATGTTAAGTTATTGTAAATCTTATTCAAATATTACACATTAAAAATAAAGTTAATAAAAATAGTAATAATAAGAATTTTAATAATACTATTGATCAAAGCAATCATTCTTGATATAGTGGCGAATCAAGGTTGTTTATTTATACAGTGCAACCTCTCCATAAGAAACGGGCAGATGCATAGTCAAAGTGTTTCTTATAGAGAGGGTTTCTTCAAGGGAGGTTCGAATAAAAATGTCGAATTGGCTTCATTTAATGCAATGAGTTGTTGTACGAGTTCTCGCCTGGAGTAACCCTTAAAAACTTTGATAACTCTGGCATCTATTGGTTGTGACAGAGAAGTGGTATTTGGTATAAAATATAACACAATTAAATAAATAATAATTAACACTTTTATAAGAAATCACTAACCAAATGAATACAGAATGAATAAAATGCTTATCACAACTCTTATAGTATTTAGTGAAACTTTAAATGAAAATGTGTTTTTTGTTTGTTTAAAGTCTTAGGTTTAAAAATATTTTGAATACTTTACATATCATGTGCTTATGAGTATATTTGTTTCTTATCGGGAGTGGAAGTTTTATCTTAATCTCTATAAATCCGTTTCTTATGGGGAGGTGTTTCCCCAAGAGAAGTTTCCCTAAGAGAGGTCATTTTAACATTATAAGTATAGGAAATCCAAAAGAGATTTCAAAACCGTTTCTTANTTTCAAAACCGTTTCTTATGAAGAGGTGTTTCCCCAAGAGAAGTTTCCCCAAGAGAGGTTGCACTGTATTATTATTCTGAAACTATAATCATAGGATTTCCTAAGTATCTAGATAATAAAAGTATTTTTATCTGTATTTTATATATAATTTTAAGATATATTACATTTAAATTTAATAAAACTAACATTAAATTGATAATAATTTTTAAAATACAGAGATTATACAATATACAATATGTAGTAATACTAATAGTAAATATAAAATGATTGTGGCACATGTATTGCAATTTGCAAACCAATTACAGGGGTGGCAACAAGATATGGGTCAAATCCATGATTACTAGCTGAATGTTTCTCAGCTTGACATCACCGGCAGGCAATTTATTGAGAGCCGCCTCCAGTTTCGGGAACTCCTTCAGCCAAAACTCTTTGATCTAGGTTTATAAATAAGGGTTAATTATAATCATCTTAATTAATTTCAAAATAATGTAACACTTACTTGTACGTGGAATACACTCCAGAAGGGATGTCTGGCCACTTTGATCACGTGATCTAACATATACAATATCTTTTTCTCCAACTGTTTATATTTGGCCATCAGTTCGGCCTCAGAGCCCGTGATCTTGAAGTCCCGACCGGCTCTCAGGGCTGCCACCCGTTTGGCCTTAATATTCATGCCGTTAATCTCGCCGACAAACATTGACATCTGCGCGTGTCTAATGTCTACAGGTTGATCGGGTATTGCCCGGAGCTGTTCAGCGCACCATGGTAGTTTTTCGGTCACAAATGCAATGATGTCGGCGTACATAAGTGCGGGCACTGTCAGCCCTTGCGGTATGTATTGTGCGGTTGCCGCTCGCATTAGGGTCGCTACTGATCCGAGTGCTTCACCGATCACTGCAGTCATGTCCTGTTCGGTGGGCTCTTCTCCGTAGTCGTTGGCCGACTCGGACTCTGGCATTGCTGTGTATGTTTATATTGATGCTAATCGTAGTAAAGGTATCCGATTAAAACATGGTAGAATTACCATTATACATGAGCATATAATCAAACGTGGTGGTAAATGTATGGATCATGGTCAGACACGTACCAACAAGAGAGAGAGAGAGAGAGAGAGAGAGAGAGGTGAATTATAATAAGATGAATTTAAATGAAGTTACAATTTCATTAGTTTTATATTTCATCAAACAAAGAATATTTGCGGTAATATAATATGTATGTTAATTGCTGACAAAATACTTACATCTCAAGTATTCCAACATTTTAGGATCCATAGTATGAACTGGGTGTTTTTAATTCACAGTAAGTAATAATATATCCACTGACAAAATATTGTGATTTTTATTATTTAGCTAAAAATAGCTATTTTTAGGCAAAATATTCTTAACTTATTTTATTACCAAAGCAAAAAATAACTTAACTTGCTATTAAGTCTGTTATGGTTCTAAAACAGGTTAGAAAAATATTTATATACTTTTAAAAATGTGTGAAAAGTGTACTCCAACTTAATGTAATTTCCTAGCCTTGAATTCAGAGTGGTGTGGGATGAACATGCGTGTTGTCCCGGTGCACATACAAACAGCTACATTGAATGTTAAGATAATTAGTGAACCCACAATTAACAGTGATTTTAAATCGCAATAAGATATAACAAAAAAAAGTGCAGTCTGGTCGCGCAAACAGAAAGCACTAAACTTATTTCTTGGTACAAGTTTGTAGTAATGTCTCGAGAAATGTCTCGTGAAATCATTTGGAAATTTTTTGTTTTGGCCAACATTAAATATATTACCACCTTGTTGTAAAGTGTAGTTAATTGTGCATTATCATACATCTTTAATTATGATAATAATAATTAATTAAACGCGTTTTCATGTTCATATTTTATTTTAAAATACTTTCATGCAATTTGAATTAGACATTACATGATAAGTTATTTGAAAATATTATGAAGTGTAATTAAATAAATTATTATTGTGTGCTCTTGTGTTGCATACGATTATTGAATTAAACTATTTAAGGTGGATGATGAAATACTAAACATTCTGTGTGAAACTACTAATATTAAATGTGATGAATTAAATTTTGTGTATTTAATAATATAGCAATTTTGTTTTATACAAAAACAAATTATTTATAACTTATAAGTTAGTTTACAAAAATACGATCCTGTAAAATAACCACGATAAATATCGCATTAAAATAAAAATATTAATGTACCTTATAATTAGATAATAGGACTATAATAAAAATTACAAATTTTATTTGAAAATTTATAACTAATAATTTTATTACATTTAAAAGACAAATTAATTTAGATTTTATATTTGCCTCTTTAGGATTATAGTATAAAGGGCATTTGAGTCAAATGTGTCAGATCTTGAATTAGTTGTTGTAAGTTTTGTTGTCTGAGTGCAGCTGACGGTAAATTACGGATCGCTTGATTTATTTTGTTAAATTCAGGAGTTAAAAAAGCAATGAGCTGAAAATATATAAGTTAAATATTTCATATTATTAAATTTTCAAATATCATTCAACACAAATATTAATCTAAATAAAACCAGAACAACTCACCTCATCATACCATGCATTCAAAACCGGGTGATTGCGTAACATTCGTAGTCCCGTCACCTTTGACTTCTCGACGGCGGCCAACACTCGGCTCTCCAATGCCTTCAATCGGTTGATAAGGTTGTGCTCATTGCCGGTGACCGACAGGGGTTTAACGGCCCGCAGTTCGGACACGTGTTGCATCATATATGTGAAATCATACAACTGACCAATCACAACTGTGGTCACTGCGTGTTGCTCTACCGGATTTTCAATATTTTCCAACCCCTTAAATACTGTCGGGACGATAGGTCTGAGAGCATCGATAAAATCTTGGTAGAACTGTGCGACCACGGTCAAACCCTGTTTTTTGTCATGATCAATTACGGGTCGTAAGTAGCCCTGCGCTTCATCGCCCAGACTATTGGCAAACATCTCTAAGTCTTTGACGTGAATCTGTTCATTGAATACGTGCGGGAAGTCGACGGGTGGGAGATCTTGCATACCATGCACTGTAAAGAGTGGTCAATTATTAGTGATATAATAATATTATGATGTTATATAATATCACTGATATTAAAAATACAAATATTTAATAGTTTATTCAAACTTACCATGAGCTAATTTTATAACATATATAATGGAAATAAATACAGTATGAATTTTAACAGAACACATTGTTATGTTTATTAAATGGGTTAATGTTTCTAACATTAATTTGTAAATTTTAAAATTATTATTAACTGGATAAGTTATTGAACAAACACTGGTATTTATACAATCATTACGTTTATTTTATATTTATTTGTATTTCAAATATTTAAAACTTTACCTCTAAATACATGTATGTTAATAATGAAATATTTGCATGCACCTGAGCGATCAAATGTTTATGCATTTGTCAAATAACCAATTAAATTGTTGTTGGTGCAAACATTATTGCTTGAGCAGGGAGATATTAAAATGGTTTTGATAAATACACGTTATGTATAAATCAATTTTATTCAATTAAATCTCTATTTGCATAAAACAATGATTATTGTGTTTTCTATCACAGTAAATATGTAATTATTATTTATCAAATAAAGATGCTAGCATCATTAAAATAAGAGGGAATTTACCAATAAGTGCAAAATTATGATTGTTCAGTTAAATAATATTGTGCCATGCTTACATCCTAGTACAATCAAACATACTTGACAAGTGCAAGTATTTAAATCGCCGTGTTCATTCTCATTAATTTTAATAATAATTATTAAAATTTTAATCAATAATAAACAGTATGACAAACATGAAAGTATATAAAGATCTTATTTTCAAACAGACTTTAACCATAACACTTAGATTAGAATCGCTACCAAGTTTTATTTAGCAAAATGAAAATAATTATCACAACTTTACTTGTTATATGCATGATCAGTGTCCAAGGTACAATAATAAGAATATTTATAAACTTGATTTATTTTAAATAAAATTTATTACCTTAACAGCGATTCAGGACAATACCATTGACTACGGAGAACAGGCCAACACCGATGCCGTCCAACTGAGAGCGTTGAATTTGGTTATACCTGTCGGACAGATAATGGATGCGGCCATTGAACGATACGAGAAAGAGGGTTTAACTATACCGATCATGTTGTACGAGGATGTCAAGGTGTTTGTCATAGAAACTTTACCATGGGTGTTTCAACAGTTTAAAGCCGTGCCCAACGAGACTGATAGAGAGCGAGTGACCGCACAATTCATTTACGAAGTCCACGGATATAATTATATGAGCAAACGGTTGGACAAAATCCGTTTGACAACCCCATTGAATGTAACAGGGTCGGCCGAGAATTTACTTGGTAGAATTAAGGCGATGGAGAGTTTTATACTTTTTTCGCTGAATGATGAAATTACCAACGCTTCCCATCCAGTCTGGACAGCATTTCACGTCCGGGTAAATAGCATTTAAATACATTTTCTAATATAGCAACTTTTGTGTTTGCTATGTATTCACATATTCAATATCTATTTGATAACTTCCCACATATTTAATAATTGTTGCAAATCAATTAGATCAGGGAATTTTTAACTGATGAATTCCCTAAACTATACAAGGCCATTTCGCAATTGCCATCGGAACAGGCTAAACAAAAGAACCTTCAGGTGTTGCTCATGGATCTCTCGCACGCATCAATTCCACCATTATAAATACACTTAAATAATTACATTTACATGTATTCTATTTATTATTTGACAAAGTATAGCATTCTATATTTAAAAAAACTTAAAATCATTGCAAAAATGTAGTTTATTATTTATATAATAAACTAATTAATTAGATGAATGACATTGATGAATAAATAAAAGTATATTTGATTAAAAGTATATAAAATGACATTATTTTGAATTTGAATAAAACTTCCAGATATTGTTACCATTGATTTCAATGGTCTTTAGTTTAGGGCTTCGCGACAACAGATCATTGAAATCAATATCCGAAAGACCATTGAATCCAATGAAACGAAACACAAGAGTTTGCAGCGCCGGTAGTCTTGAGAGGTGTGACAAACACTCGGTGTATATGTTTTGGTTGCCATCAATCCATAGATCTAGTATTTCCAGAATTTACACCGGCTTACACATAGCATTTATAATAGAAAAGGTCATTTATGTAAAGAAACTACTATTACTATATTATTCATATATAAGGTAAAAACTTATTGTGAGTTGGGTTTAAACATTACAAATATTATATTAAAAATGGGACACTAAATGACTAAAACATTGTAACGTTTATATTGAACAATAGTTCAACAATTAACTTGATGATTCAATAATCACGTCTAACTAATAATAACATTTTTTTATGTCTGGAAAATCTAGCCATAGATACTGAAGACGTGGGCAGTGTTTATGGCAATCGATCAGTAATTTGGCGTCCATTCCCATCAAATTCATCTCTAAATGCGTTAATCTCTTGCAATCACTCAACGGATCCAACGAGAGATGAATGTGTGCTAAAGGCATATGAAGTTGTGTTAAACGCAAGCGTTTTAATCGCCGGTAATATCGCAACGAATCCAATGTCTGGCGTTTGCATTGAGTGCTATCGGCGTAGAAGTGAAGCGACAATCGTTTCAAATGTTTGCAATTCACGCCAATTGTGCGCAAAGAGTCGGTCAATAAGTTCTGTCCGCCGATTATCTCCAAAACGAGATTCAATTCGCGTAATTGTGTTAATCGTGACAATTGTCCGCACATTTCCATCAGTGAGTCGCGAGTCTCGTACTTATGGTAACTGATGTCAAGACATTTGAGGGACAGATTGTTTAATTTTAATATTAAATTGAATACAATTAAAATACAAGTGTTGTCTGATATAAAGTACAGAACATTAAATCGTATGGAAATTAAATACAAAATAAGTTTCAAATGAGTTTACAAAATGAATTAAATTGAAAACAATCAACGAATTAAAAAAGCAATTGAATTGTAGAATAAATTGTAATTAAAAATGAAATGAAAACAATTGAAAGTAATTGAATATTTGAAGGAATAATGAATTGAATATTGAAAGCAAAATAATAATCAATTTGATTGAAAAATTGATTAAATTATGTTTACTTATAATAAAACTTCTTCTCATTGTTGACACGGATTTCAATTGTCTTGAGTTTAGGACTCGAAGACAACAGGTCTTCGCAATCACTATCCGTGAGACAAAGGTAGCGCCAAAAGGTTTCAAAGGCCAGTCTCTGCAGCGCCGGTAGTCTTGAGATGTGTGCCAAACAACGGGTGTTAATCATCGCTGAGTTGCCATAAATGTGTAGACATTGAAGTCGTGGACAGTGTTTATGGCAAGCAATCAGTAATGTGTCGTCCATTTGACGCCAATTATTCA